GCCACGCCATAATCCCTTCTCCTCCATTCTCTTCTTGGGATTTTGGGCATGCATACACATGTGCCTGGTGTGAGTTTTAAGCCACCAGTTCTAGGATTCGAACTGCAGTTGACTACATGGGAGTTCAGCGACGTAACCATTGTACCATCTGCTGGTCCCATTCACTGTACATCTTTACAGCATACAAATATGGCAGAAATCTTAAAGAAAAGGATGGCAGGACTCCCTCAGAACGGGAGTGGGACATTTCTTCCCTAACACCCTAATAGGCTTTCTCATCTGCTTCCAGGCCTTCCTAGAACGTTACCTCAGCGCAGGCCCCACGCTGCAGTATGACAAGGATCGCTGGCTCTCTACGCAATGGAGACTTGTTAGTGATGAGGCTGTGACCAACGGATTACGGGATGGAATTGTTTTTGTCCTTAAATGCTTGGACTTCAGCCTCGTAGTCAATGTGAAAAAAATCCCATTCATCGTCCTCTCTGAAGAGTTCATAGACCCCAAATCTCACAAGTTTGTCCTTCGCTTACAGTCTGAGACATCAGTTTAAAAGTTCTATATTTGTGGCTTTATAAAAAAAAAGAAGAAAAATATATAAAGATATATATACATATATATATATACACACACACCAGAGGGGTGTCTTTTTTGTTTTGTTTTTTGTTTTATTCTTCATTGCGGACTGAAGCTGGCAGATGACAGACCAGTATCCTTTGAACATCTGCACTTTATTCGGAAGGAAGCAGGGATGCCCACCCTGATTAAGACACCTGACTTTTGCAGGTGAGATATCTCAAGAAGCCAAAAGAAGAATATAAAGATATATATACATATATATATATACACACACACCAGAGGGGTGTCTTTTTTGTTTTGTTTTTTGTTTTATTCTTCATTGCGGACTGAAGCTGGCAGATGACAGACCAGTATCCTTTGAACATCTGCACTTTATTCGGAAGGAAGCAGGGATGCCCACCCTGATTAAGACACCTGACTTTTGCAGGTGAGATATCTCAAGAAGCCAGTCCCTGGAGTTTCTGGGACAGCTGTAAACCAAAGTGGAGCTGGCACGTTCTTGGGAGCCTCGCCTTTCGACAGGAAGTCCCTGCTTTCCGTCCAGTTCTCGTCCCCCCACCATTGCCTCTGGTTGACGCGTAGACTTCAAGGGGACACGTCTTTATTCTGTTTCAGGAAACCAGACACTCCATGTCCACCTATGTATTTGTGTGTGCAAATGTGCAGTACCACATGGCCCACGTGAGTTGTGGGCAGTTCAGGAAATGCCTGCCTTCATCTTTGTTCTTTGTTGCCTTAGATTCTTCGAGAAATATCACAACGAAAAATGTGCACTCTCAGTGTATAGCTATTAAGTGATTTTACTTTGTATTTTTCCCAAAGAGAAACTACCATCTCTGTTTCTGATCCTGTTCCTCTATGGGCTTAAAGCAGGTAGCTCTTTCCCAACCCTACAATTGCCCACCCAGTTTCCACTCCTTCCTGCCCTCCCTGGCATGCATATCACGCCCGAGCTGGCTGGCAGCCCTGGCCAGGCAAGCTCAGCCTTTCAGAGCTGACGGCCCCAGCTCTCCAGGTATGCCCTCAGGCCCTTTGCACAGATTGTCCCCACAGTGTGGAGTGCCACCAGGTAGAACACAGGGAGAACATGCCCAGTGACCTCTTAAGCTGCTGCAGGAACCCTGTCTCACCTATTTCTCCACCCCACTGTCCTGCACCAGCTTGGGGGGAGACAAACACTGTGACTCTTAGGTGAGCAGGCACAGCTTGGAGCCAACCTAATTTCTGGGAATGTAAGTTCCCCACAGCACTCATGCAACTGCCCTGTCAAGAGAGACCAAACAGTGCCAACCACACTGGCCACTCCTGTGTCCAGGCCCTGTGTTTTCTGACCACCATCACTGTGCAACTCATCATCTTACCACTTACTACCAGCTAGGGGCTTGTTTACCTCCTGATGTGTACATTACTGCCAGGTGTTGGTCAAGTGGGGCAAAGGAAATGGACCCTTGGTGGAGTTTAGGGCAGGGAGACTAGGGATCCAGTCTTCTAGTCCAGAGTGGTTCATCTGCGGTCTGTTTCAGTGGGCTTTCCCCTGGCCCTGGGAAAGTAATGCTGCCTGGGCCATGGGCAGAGGCACCATCCTGACAGAGCCCTGCTACAGGGAAGCCCTCGGGAGCACATCTGGACCCTGTGCAGTGCGCTGTCTTTGCCTCTGTTTGCCTTCCTGCATCTGCAACAAACTTTTAAAACACATTCACTATTATTTTTCATCTAGGGTAATGAGTTACTTTGCTTTTGTAAAGGATGACTCCGTCAAAATGCTTTTTGTATTTTGTGCACGTACCCTTACTATTTGATGCGTTCTGCGAGTGGTACAGTATTTCGTGTGTCATTTTAAAAATCAAAATCAGATATTTGTAGCATACCTGTACCTGAAAAAGTAAACAATGTTGTTGAGTCAACAACCTTCAGCTCAAAAAGATGTGTTGGAGAAGGAAGGGGACACCTCGGCAATGGCATGGAGCCAAGTCGTACTGTGTAACTACGTGGTTCCGTTTATGAGAAACACCTGCCGTGGCACCATGGTGCTTTTGTTCTTCGTCTTTGCCTTTCGGTCCCTTCAAACTGGAAGTTCCATGTCATTTGTTTCTCAGGAAATATTTTGGAATATAGGATAAAGGGTGGTGAATATGTGTGAGACCTGGCTGTGTAAAGATAATGTCCCAGACTACATGTGTCCGAAGCGGCTGGATCACGAATATGGTACGATTGAAAGTGCCATGCGTGTATACACCTACAGGTGGCAATGACCGTTCACCAGCATCCTAAACACTACGCTTCCAAGCCTGTCTTAGATGACCAGTCCAGACGGGGTTAAGTCCGATTCATTTGCTTTGGCATGTACCTTCCCAGCGGTGTGAAGAAAGGTTTAAATTAAGGAATTTATTTTCTCTCTCCCTCTCCCAATCTGCATAGGAGAATGTCAGACTTTCAGAAATGATTGTTTCTGTTTTAAATTGAGGATCGATTTTTTTTTTTTACACTGACTTTGTATTGTGTCCTTTTGAAAAGAATAACAAAATAAAATGCAGGATCTTTGTGTAAAGCCTTTGCACTTTTAACCTCTTAATAGCTTGAGTGACTGGTGCAGTGGGAACAATGGAAATGGCATGAAAACTGTTTAAGATTTCAGAGAGCTGCATCATATTGAACACAGTGCATTTCAGTTATGGAGCCAGTAGGCAATTCTTTCTAAAAAGGGGATAGAGCTGTGCCCTAAGGCTAGTAGAGTATATGTTCATATTAGAGAATATAGGATTTTATATGCCTTAAATGTTTATAGATTTTCTATAACTTTCAACCTAAGTTATTAAAATTTGAACGTTAACTGTTAAAAGGAAAGGACTTAATGAGTATATGTCTGAGATTGCTCTTTCCTGGTGAACTTTTTACCCAGTAGATAACTATGGTTCTTACATGGATACTTTTGAAGACAGGACTTTTTTCTTTTTTTTAAATATACCAGGGACTGAATATTAAAATAGAAAAGTCTGCATTCTTAGAAATGGAAGGGATTTAAAGTTATGTAGTTCACCTGTCATTTGCATTATCAGTGAAGTCAAAATGTATACTATTTTGGGAACCAGCAGTTAGCGTAATGGCTATGTCGCTGGACTCCCACGTAGTCGACCGTGGTTCGTGTCCCGGACCCGGTGACTTAAAACTCACGCTGGGCGCGTGTGCGTGCATGCCCAAGATCCCGAGAGGAGAATGGAGGAGAAGGGATTGCGGCGTGACCATCCCCCCTGGGGGGTGATTTCTCGCTTTCTGTCTCTATGTCTCTCTCTGTCTGTCTGGCAAGCGCACGCGCCCTACAGTGAAAATCTCTCCCCCCCCCAAAAAAAATGTATACTATTTTTCTAAAGTTCATGAAATTGACCCTAAAAATAATGTGTCATCATCATTTTATTGCCAACTATTACCTCCCTTTCTCCCTCTCTCTCCTTCCCTTTTGAAATCCACATAGAGGACAATTTTTTTTTTTTTAAAGTTTATTTCTTCCGTGAGAGATTGAAAGACAGACACTTCACAAGGTCTTGACTCTGACCCACCTCTGGTCCAAGCTGGCCCAGATCATGAGTGTGCGAATGAGGGGGCGGTCCCAGGAGATGAACCTAGAACCTTCTCCATTTGCATCCAGTGGTGTTATGATCGCCCCACCCCCCGGCCCAGTTCTTTACAGCACGTGGTAAGAGGTAGGTGTCCCTAGTGTGTTTGTCATGTGGTTCCACTGTCGCTTTTTAGTAGGGAGACTGGCTGTGCTGTTGTGGTTGAAGGGTAGGGTGCTCACCCTTCTGCTGTCTTTTCCATGTTGGTGTATCATTTTCTCATTTTGCATCTCATCTTGACTTTCTTATGCGTGTGTTTACGTCACAGCTAAAGCACTGTAGGTACACAGCCTACTGAACTGGCAGAAGTTATTGCCGTCTTTACCTCCAGCCACAAACTAAGCGAGTGTTCTGGCCATGCAGTGAAGCCAACATCGCTGAGTTCTTGGTGTGCCCTCTTCCGTTAGGGCACTACTATGTAGGACTTTCTAAATGGGATCACATATTTGCTTGTGGGTAGGCGTTTCCATATACGTGAGCATTTCTGGGCGCATATGCTGCCCGCTGGATGGCACATTTGTGTGTTAGACATCTGAACATCTGTGTTCTCTGTAGCAGATAGGGGTGTGGACCTCAGTAGATGTGTGTGGGTTGTGTATATGGCCAAGCATGATTGTGCATGAGGGTGTATGTGTTTCCATGTATGGTCGGTGCTTGAGAGATTTCCTAATAGTTCCCATCCTTTGGGACTCCTGACCCTAAAGCCATGGACTTCTCCCAACCCTCTTGTATTCTTCCTCTCAGTTACACTGGCTTCTGCCCCAGGGATAAATGACTTTAGTATAGCAATGTCTTGCTGAGAGCCTGCTGTCCTGTCAGTCAGTCCATTGGACCCTTTCTTGCTTTGGGACTGTATAACCCAATCAGCATGAAGCTTACAAAGGAAGGTCACGCTCCATGAGAATCACTGCTCCACCATCACTACCCTGAAGCCTTACTATATACTTCTTAATATAACTTAAAAATTGGGCTTCATAAAAAAGCCAAAATGATTGGTTGCTAAAAGTAGCACAGAAATGTTGTTAACATATATATTTAAATAGTCTGGGCAGAGTCCACGATTGTCAAGTGATGTGTTTCTGGGTAGTGTTTGTGCTGTATGGATCTTGTTACAAAAAATAAATCACTACTGTGAATTCGCTACTATATAATCTTGTGGTCATATTCCATTAAAAACAAAATATGAATTATTATTAAGCCCATAGTGTAGTTCTTCAATGGTATTCAGTGCAATAGTGAACTGAGAGTTTAAATACTCCATTAAAATCACCGTATTGGGGGACCAGTAGATGGCATAATGGTTACTTTGCTGGACTTCCATGGAGTTGACTGGTTCGAGGCCCCGATCCTATGGCTTAAAACTCACTTTGAGCGCATGTGTGTGCATGCCTAAAATCCCAAGAGAAGAATGGAGAAGTGATTGCAGCATGGGCATCCCCCCTGGGAGGGTGACTTCTTGCTTTCTGTCCCTCTGGTAAGCACAAATTCCCTTATAGCAAAAAATCTCTCAAAAAAAAAAAAGTCACCGTATTGGGCTTTAACCAAATGAAGGCTCAGAAAATTCTATATTATATCCCATTTTGACATAATGTATGTTGGTCAAAGAAGAAAGGGAAGAGCACAAACACATATCAGATATCTTTATCCGATACTGTTCTACACAACCATTTTATCCTCACATTTCTTTAAGGGAGGAATTTCATTTTTATGGGCAAAAAGGGGAAGATCAGAGAGGGAGGGACTTGCTCAAGGTTTCGTGGCTGGTAAATGGAATTTCAAACTAGGTGTTTGAGTCCAGTTCCTTAGTTTGCTGTACTTTGGTGTCTGAGCTGAACGCTGTGGTCTCTCTGGATGTGGAGGATGGTCTGAGTCAGAACCTGGGCCGCAGGTTCTACTGGGAGGCGGGATTCCTTCTTTCACTTCCTTGAGAGGCTTCCCCACTCTGCTGCCAGATTTCTTAGGCTATTCAATGGGAAGAGCTTGAGAACCCCATTCCTGAAGAGAAGCCCAGCCCTCCCAGGACTGCACCACACCAGACAGAGAGGTGGTGTCCCTCCCCACACCCTCCCCCACACCACCCTCTTCCACCCTCCGCCCCCTCCCTGCTGGTGAGGGCAGGACGGGATTCTGGGTGCAAACTGGCATGCAGGGACCTGACCTGGTTCTCCTAGGGAAGTCCCAGCTGGTGTTTCTGGCCTTGCCCCTGGACACTGGTGCTCTCATCAAGCAGCTTGCCACCTGCTATTTCTCCACACTTGCCCTCAAGACTTTTGACAGAACAGACCTAAAATAGAACTCTGAAAACACCGTTTCTCTCCATTCCATTGTCTGTCATTTTTGGTTCAGTCATGCACGAACCTTCTTTTTCTGCCGTACTGTTTGCTTTCAATGGAAGCCAGGAAAGGGGAGCTGTGCTTATGTCCCTCCACAAGGAAGGAAAACAACTTCTGAAGGGTGAATGGGAAATGTGAAACTGCTGAACTAAATTGGATTTTAAGACTCTGAGTCTCTTTTACCAGGTCCACTTCTACTTGGATCATTTGTCTTACCTGTAAAATAAATCTCTCTAGCGGGTTGTTTTAGAATCTCCCCAACACAGCAGATTCCTAAAGCCTGCTGTAGGTCAGTAAAGGCTACTTTCAATGTGACACTAAAAGTCTGCAATTTATGGCTCAGCGCAGAAATGTTACTGTTTCGTCTTTGTCGTGGAATGAAGACACTGTAATCTTAAGCCTTGGGGACAGATGTGACGCACCCAGAAACTTTTGTCTTCAGCGTGTCTTTCACACTCTTGGTACTGAAATAACATTTGCGTAAATGTGAATGTGCAGTTGTCTGTTTTCATATATGCCTATGTTTTCTGACCTTTCATTTGTGGCAATTAATTTTCATTGGGAAGTTGCTCATCATTTAGGAATTTCTAAACCCTAAAACGCCCTCAGCCTAGGAAAGCTTCATCTGGGAGGACCAGACACTTGCTCAGGGAATTTGAGATGGGACTCGGGCACTTGGCCTGCTGGAGACAAGTTTCGTTCAAGTCAGGTAGGGAATCCAGATCGTTGCACACCATCATGTGCCAGGGCCAGTAGAAAGATGGGGCAGTGCTTGTCAACTGCCAGTGGCCTTCAACTATAGAAGTAACGGACTACTAACTTACTGTTGATCGTCATTTTAAAAAAGGAAAAAAAAAAAAAAAAAAAGGTATACAAGAAAATCTAAACCTTGGCTGGAATTCCTTATTTTTATAATAAATTCCCTGTAGACTTTAATTAAAGTCCTCTAGGATCCCCTAAATTATGACATAATTAGCCCAGTTGGATTTCTAAGCAGTCATTGATGAATGTATCTAATGCATAGGTGCAGACATCAGCAGGGATAGGGGCAGATAATGACTTACTGGGTGGTGAGTTCACCTTGCAGACCACTTCCTTTAAAAAGATCTAGTGAGAGAACTGGGGAGACCTCGGCCAGGTCTTAGTCAAGACAACATTGACGAGGTATACAAGAAAATCTAAACATTGGCTGGAATTCCTTATTTTTATAATAAATTCCCTGTAGACTTTAATTAAAGTCCTCTAGGATCCCCTAAATTATGACATAATTAGCCCAGTTGGATTTCTAAGCAGTCATTGATGAATGTATCTAATGCATAGGTGCAGACATCAGCAGGGATAGGGGCAGATAATGACTTACTGGGTGGTGAGTTCACCTTGCAGACCACTTCCTTTAAAAAGATCTAGTGAGAGAACTGGGGAGACCTCGGCCAGGTCTTAGTCAAGACAACATTGACGATTGTTTTGTTTAAAAGACTTTTAAGTTACTAGATTTCGAATCCAGCATCCATCTACAAAGTTCAGTGGTGAAACCATCTGTCTCTATCTGATGGAGTCGTAACTGTACAAGATGTGACCAGCCTTGTGTGTTCTTTCCTATTAATGCATACTGTACTTAACCGTGAGGGACAGCTTTGCCAACCAGCCTCATGGTTACTGTCAACGCTGAAAACTGAGCGTGGATTCCTGCATAAACCAAGCAGTGGGCTCTATTGAAACACTTTTAACATGTAAATGAATGGATTACCATTCCAACAACCACCTGCACTGGACTATTGACTTGTGTTCCTGAGGTTTACTATGAAACCTGTTCTCATTGTGATGCCGGAAGCAGTTTAGTGTCTAAGGCAGACACGGTGTGCCTGGCATCCAAGTTATTCTGTTCCCTCTTGGGTCCTCCAGGGATAGCCCTCCCCCATCCCAACTAACTGTAAAACACTTTACACACTACATTTTTTTATACCATAAACTTGGAAAATAAATTGAAACCTCAAATTGGATGTTGTTTCTTTTCTTTGTGTGATTACTTCCATGTAAAAAAGTCACCTGCTTTTTAGGGAATATTTTCACTCTTGCATCATTTTGGTACTCTCCTAAAGACAACCTGTCATGTTTCTATGGAAATCAACACACTTACAAGCTAGATGGGGAAAGGAGGATTACCACTGTAAGAAAACTTCTGGTTGTCAATCAT